CTTATATTACGTTATGTTGTTTTATTATTACTTGATGATATGTTGTCTTTACTTTACTTTTCGTATTGACTTGATATAGTTTTATAATTACTTGATATGGTTTTGTCATTAATCAATGTGGCTTTGTCATTAGTCGATGTGGTTTCACCATTATTTAATGTGGTTGTTTCATTAGGCAACGTGGTTTTAACATTACTCGATGTGTATGTGACTTAACGTAATGTAGTTGTTTCATTTCATGATGTGGTTTTGTTGTTTCGAAGTGATGATTTGCCAATTCTTTATATGGTTTTAACATTACGTAATGATGTTTTAAAATTTGACGATTTGACACTACATGATGTGTTTGTTTCAGTATTTGATGTGGTCCTTTCAATCTTTGATGTGGTTATCACATTACGGACCATTTCGGAAAAACTAGTTCAACTTTAAACCGATTTCACTATGTCGTTTGTTTAATGTCCTTTGAATGAGTTTCGCCATCCATTGATTTCAATTTCAAATTAAAGTTCGACTTGTTGTTCAGAGTTATTCGGTATGAAAAAGGGGAACGGCAGACAAAAATAAGAAAAAAGTACTAAACAATTTACAGTCTTTCGGCCATACGGGGGATATCCCTAAACAATTTGGTCCTGCCGGTTTTTTTTCTTTCTTAGTTCTCAAATGGAAGCAGTATATATTATAATTCGTGAAAGATTCCACGGAATTCTCGTCTCGCCTAATATTGCTGCTGTCAGTGTAAACGTGTAATGTTGACTGTACATTTATTTGTACATTTATCGGTAAACACAAAATAAAAAAAAAAGAAATGTTTTTCTGTAGATGCTTTATCTTGATCTTGAAGAATAACTTTTATACTAATCAATTGAGTTTTTCAAATTTATCATACCAAAACAGTCTAATTCGGTAATATTTAATGCAAAAAAAAAACCTATATAGAAATAAGAAAATGTGGTATGATTGCCAATGAGACAACTCTCAACCAAATATTTACCACATGACATAGAAGTTTTAAACAACTATATTTGACTGTATAGTCTTCAACAATGAGCAAAACCCATACCACATAGTATGCTATAAAAGGTCCCGAAATGAAAAATGCAAAAACAATTCAAACGAGAAACCGGACAATCTAAATGATGAAGACGCCGACGCCACTACCACAACGAAATATAGGTTTGTTGTGTCTCACTGCCGCTATATTAATGTCCCAGGTTCAACACAAACATCAAAAGACTTGTACTTTATTGTCGGCAATGAAACACTTTAAATCAACTCACACTAAAGTTACAGGGAAATGGGGGGATCGGAATAAGCGACAAACATCAATTCTATAAAATATGAATTCTTTTATTTTTTTTAGCGTGTATGATTATTTGAACATATACGAATATCAATCTGTTATTATTATAAATTGCATACTCTGATATATATCGCACTAATTGAAACAACAGACTTTTTGGAATATCTGTTTCACAAGTGACGACGGATATGTTCCAGTTTTCGTACCACAACCCCGTCCTCTTTTCCTCGAACGGGAACTACCAAATAAAACCAGATCACTGGGTTTATACTTTAACGAATAACACGACGGCTACCACACGTTGAGCAGAATCTGCTTAACCTTCTGGAGCACGCGAGAACATCACCAATGGATTTATATTACCCAGTAATACCGATCTATTGATTTAAGCCTATTGGAATTTTTTTTTTACATTTTCTTATGTTGTGCTGCTACATTACAGTCCGAGTTTAGGTTATGGTTTAGCGCTCACATACATGTCAAACTCCGCCACGTGCACTTTCTGTATGTGCCTGCCCAAGAAACTTGAAGAACCTGTGGTTCAATGGTTGTCATTGTTTCATGTGTGTCAAATTTGTTTTTCGTAGATTGTTTTGTTATAAATTTGAATTGTTTCACATTTTCACGTGGTGGCCTTTGTAGACTTTTTTTTACTATACGGTGCGTTGAAGGCTGTATGGTTGCCTATGCTTGCTTACATCAATTACTGTGACATTTAAACTTAAGTAGATAGTAATCTCATTGGCAATCATTACACATCCAACTTTATTTCAATTTATATGTTGTGTTTTGTATGCTGTAACATTGTTTATGTTTTGTACAAATACCCCTCAGCCCTCTTTTCGGAAGCCCGAGCAAAAGCTCTTGATATTCGATAGAAACATTTAAATACCATGAGGAACTCATATTAGATAACTACAATTTTGACTCGAAATCTTAATCTTAACGAAACTCATATTCGACTCTAACTCAAACTCTACCCCAAAAGGCTCCTCAAATTCAAAGTTGAAGTCGAATTCATTATTGTAACTCGAACGCTACCTTTAACTCAACTTGATCTAGAAATTGAACCCTAAACTCAATGCTACTAGAACTGTTATTCTAATAATGGCTTGAATTATAACTTAAATCGAAGACTTACTTCAAAGTTTAATTCGAAACTTTAATCCAAACTCTAAGTTTAATTCGAAACTTTAATCTAAACTCTAAGTTTAATTCGAAACTTTAAATTAAACTCTAACTCGATGGATGGCCACACTCATCCAAGGCACATAAAACATGGAAATCTATGATCTAAAAATAGAACTAGTTTTTCCGAAATGGTCACATGGTTTTACCACCACCACGTAATGTGATAACCACATCAAAGAATGAAAGGACCACATCAAATACTGAAACAAACACATCATGTAGTGTCAAATCGTCAATTTTTAAAACATCATTACGTAATGTTAAAACCATATAAAGAATTGGCAAATCATCATTACCTAACAACAAAACCACATCATGTAATGAAACAACTACATTACGTTAAGTCACATACACATCAAGTAATGTTAAAACCACATTGCCTAATGAAACAACCACATTAAATAATGGTGAAACCACATCGACTAATGACAAAGCCACATTGATTAATGACAAAACCATATCAAGTAATGATAAAACTATATCAAGTCAATACGAAACCATATCGTGAAATATCGAGATATCATTAAGTAATTACTATGCCATATTGAGTTATATCAAAACATCATTATGTAAAGACAACATATCATCAAGTAATAATAAAACAACATAACGTAATATAAGAATTCCGCATAAGACAGCTGTGGCGTTACATAAAAACAATATAAACGACTGAACGATAAGTTCATTTTCTGTATTTGGCAAAACTTTTCGGAATTTTATAGTCTTCAATAGTCTATAACTTCGTCTTTTATTTTGCCTCTTTAACTTTTTTGATTCGAGCGTCACTGATGAGTCTTTTGTAGACGAAACGCGCGTCTGGCGTTCACAATTGCAATCCTGGTATCTATGAAGAGTTTATTCACTGACAGTGTGTATTGTTTCTGTCCCTTTATAAAGGTACACTTTGATGCACGGTAACACCATTGAAAGAATTCAAGTTTTTCAGGAATTTAAGAAATTATTTTCAAATGAGCAAAGAAAAATTTTATTGAGTAATTATTTACAAGTCATTCATTTTCAAATACAATGAATCTTACGACGAAATGATTACCATTTTTCATATTTGTTTCCACTTACAGAATTAAACCCGTAAGCCCATGTCACATCTTTAAGCCTTACAGATCAAATTTTACTTATAGGTTTATATTATCGTATCCAGTGACATTAACCAACTCACCACTGATATTGGCTAACTTCCTTTCAATGTCTTTCCTTGAAACAATCTCGTCAATGAACACTTCAATACTTGCCAATATCTCCATTCCTACCGTTTCATTTATGATACAAGTAGAATTTGTGATTAGGTCAGCAGATATAAAATGTAGGTCTCTGTTTAGTTTAAGGTATCTTTTCAAATATTTTTCTATTGCTGTTTCCATTCTCTGTAAAAAGGAATCAATTGAGACTGGATTTATTTTAGATACAAAGTCCAAACGGATAGGTAGCAAATACCGAGATTTTTAGTCACGGGTAGTATTGGTTCGCAAGTTGAATTTAGCAGTATATATCCGGGAGAACACGTTACATCTCTGCATTTATTCTGAAAGACACGAAAATAAATACATGACGTACAAAAAATTAACAATTGAATACGTTTCTGTATTCACTTGACAGGAATATATATTCAAAGATTGAGCGTTGTTTAACGTAATATTTTAGTTCACAAAAATTGTGTTCTGAAAAAGTAGTATTAGCCATATCCAAACAACATTTGAGGTGTTTAATTTATAAAGTGAAAATGTGCAAAAATATAAGAATAAGAGTTATGATTGCCAATGAGACAACTCTCTAGCCCAGACAAAATGACGTAGAATTTTACAATTACCGTACTGCCGTCAACAATGAGCAAAACCCATATCGCATAGTAAGCTATAAAAGGCATCAATATTACAAATGCAGAACAATTCAAACGAGAAAACTAACGGCCTGATTTATGTAGAAAACAATAAACGAAAAGCATTTTTGATTTGTCAATTTGTCTGATTATTCTTTAATATAACTTTACCTTAGCTGTTTTTGGCAAAACTTTTAGGAATTTTTGTTCCACAGTGCTCTTCAACTTCGTACTTTATTTTGTCTGTTAACATTTTTTTATAAAAGCGTCACTGATGAAAATTTGTAGACTAAACGCGCATCTGACTCAAATACAAATTTTCAATCCTTGTATCTATGATGAGTTTATTTGCAATCCCTTGTAATTTGTTTGGAGAAAAAACCCATTTTCATTAGAGTTATCATTACCAAATGTAAGACAAATAACGATTTTAGAAGACTACAATCATTCCAAAATGTTATTTTAACAATAATTGAACATGATGTACCTTTCAAAAGTATCACTTAATCAATCTGGGATCGAATCTGGTGCCCTGGACATAGTATGCGTTTAGTCTACCAACTTAGCTAATGTAGTAGTAAAGCGGTGCTACCCTTAATCTAGTAGATTTTTAACCGTCCTTACTCAATGCGAAAGTGAAATATTAATTTCAGGTGGTAGAGCTATATAGGTTTAACTTACATGTAAAGTATCCAAGACCTGTCCTCTAGTGCACTCAGTTACTTTTTCGTCGTCGTCGTTCGATATTTGAAATAATGCTCTAAACGTGGTTACAACACCATCACTGTTTATACACAAAATGCATGTAATTGGATCCCAATTTATAGTTTCAGTCGTTGTTGTTGGTGGTGGAATAGGCTGTAGTGGTACGCCCGGATTGCATAATGTACAAAATACGTTTCGAAATCCTCTGAAATTTGTCATAAATGTTGTGTTTAGTTTTTCACAAGCCCATAACACATCAGCATCAAGATGTAACCATGTACCCGATACATTGCATGATTTTATCATGATTGTCTTGTCATCACACACAGCAGCTTTTCCTCGCGCTGGTTTGAATGTAATATCACAATTTCTTCTAGTAGCAGATTTAAAGATGTCTGTCATAGAGAGCTGATAATATATCGGAAGTAGATTGAATATTGCGCATGTTATTTCAATGTCCCATGGATGAAACAAATCCTGCGCGAACGGCTTTACGGGAAATCTCATTGGGAAATTAAATTTGTTGTCTGCACAAAGTGCACAAAAGATATTTTTGTAGTGTTTTTTTGTGTCAGTTCTACTAACTGGAAGATCATACATCGCTTCACCCCTCCTTTCACAATATGAATTTATACCTTCATCAGTATAACGGCATATACCAGATACAATGTTTCCATCCGAGCAATCCAAGAGCTGATCTAATTCAAAATCGACACAACAAGTATGATGAGATATACATGTTTCATCACAGGAACAATATGGTACCAACGTTTTTGGACCGGCATTGTAAATTCCACATAAATTTGGTCCATATGATAATGAATATAGAATCATAAGATTAGCCACATTAACTTGTCGTCCATCGTCGAAAAATTCGTATGTACTGTTTAGTCTATTCCCAAGTTTAAAATCGGTGTTTGGTTTATCGCTTTGATATGAAAGATATGGCGTCAAGAAATCGTTCCTAAACATCAATTGTTCCATTTTATAAACCATTCTATCACCTTCAAATAAAATACTTATATACCCATTTATATCATTGTACTTATCTTTATCGTCATGTCTATTGCAAAGATAGCAAAACATGTTTTTGAACGGAAACGTTACGCTGCTTTGTTGATACATTTCACATGCATTTTCTAGCACTTTTGTGCTATCATCAGTTACATTACACGTAGAGATGATATCCATGTACAAATCTGGCAACGGAGGATTACACATTAAACAAAATATACTTTTGTATTTATCAAATGGAAGTTGAAAGTGATTGCATGCCCAATCGATATCCAAGTCATATGAGCTCCAAGTGCCAGTCATGTTGCATCTATCTATCAAATTATCAGTTATTCTATTACACGGGAGGGCCTTGTTATTGGCATTCTGTTGAACATATCGTACAGTGCACATTTTAACCATTATTGTTTCAGCTATTTCTGCGAAACTGGATAAGAAGTTAAAGTCTGCAAATTTTTGACAATATATGTCTATAGTCCATGACTCTAAATCTGTTTCACCATGACATTGACCACAATAAACATTCCTATACGTTGTCCTGTTCTGACTCGTCACGGGTACCAGTGTAAGATTTTGAATAAGATCAGTTTCCTTTTCACAAAGATTTCTAATTTTCGGAGGCGTGTTTGGAGGACATTTGTCTATCACAGAAAAGTAAACATCTGATAACAAATTGTATGGATTGTATATAACATCGTTCATACATTTCTCTCTGTGGTGCAGTAATCCAAAATCAGGACAACAATTTGTATTAAGAATGCAATCATTACAGTGACATGCAGGACAAACAGAGCCAAGATTTGTTAAATTGTTTTGAAAATATGACAATGTTATCATTGAAGCATCACAAAAATGCAATCCACAGGCTGCAGCATAGTGGTTATATATATTCTCATAATTTGGCTGACTCTGGCAAGTAGTCGTGTGCATATTTATCAGGAATAAATGCACAAAAGCGAAGAAAACTTTCAAATATTTGTTTTTATCACACATTCTAAAATTATCTGTAAAACATAGGATATCTTTAGGCATGAAACGTATAACATAAGAAATATTAAGACATGAAACGCATTTTTTTCTGATAATATTAACATGGTTCAGTACTTGTATGCATTAAATAAAAAAAAAAACAACCATCCAACCATAATATAAATGTATTATTTAATGATAAAAATGTAATGTAAAAATAATTTATATTAAAAGGAGAAAGACAGCAATGAAAACAAGCAAGTCCAGAAGTATGTTTAGACAAATGACTTGTCTCATATGAACACAATTAGCTTAAATGGCAGTAAATGAAATTAATACTGAACTTCGAAAGACTTTTTGATTTTTTTTAGATATTTTTTTTCTGCCATCTGGGACCTTTATGGCGGAATGGCTAAGTAGTCTTACTACTGTAGAGCTAGTCTGTAAATACTGAGGTTGTGAGTTTGAACCCCGCACGTGGCAGGTGCGCTCGACTACAATCTTAATTTACTAGAATTGTCAGTTTTCCTGCCGAAGGTCGGTGTTTCTGTCCGGGAACTCCAGCTTCCGCCACCAATAAAAAATGACCACAACGAAAAAGCCATTAGTGCTAAAAGTGGCGTTAAACAACAATCAATCAATCAATCTCCCGCCATCTGAGATTTATTTTTGTTTCGCGACATATTGAAAAGATTTTTGTCGCATGATATCATGCAGTAATTACGGTTTAACCATTGAACCGGTGTTATCGTTATTCCACAGTAATCGTAAAAGATATGGATATTTTTCCCCCAAATTGGTCGTATCATCCTCATCATGTTTCATTCAATTTTGCAGTGGCATCTAATGGGAACTATTTCACTTTCAACATTTGACAAGTGATATGTCTACATAACTCATACATAATTACCTTTTCTAATTTCGGGTCCTCAATAGAGTTCAACTACGTACTTTAATTGGCATTTTAAATATATTGATTCGAGCGTCACTGATGAGTCTTCTGTAGACGAGCCTGGCGTACAAAATTTTAATTTTGGTATCTATGATGAGTTTATAATAAGTCTAAGAGAACAACTGTCTTTTGAAATGTGCTCCTTGGCCCATAATCAGGAAACTGAGGTCATGGTCAAAGGTCAAGATCATGTTCTAAATTTAATAATTGATTGGTCAGGTTTATGTTGTCGGCAATTGATTGATCGGGTTTTTGTGTCGATAGTGGATTTCAGAGTATTTCTTTTGTCGATTATTGATTGATCGAATTTCTATTGTCGATAATAGATTGAACGGATTTATAATGTCGATAATAATATTGTCGATAATGGATTGATTGGATTCCCCTTGTCGATAATGATTGAATGTGTTTGAATTGCGATAATTAACTAATTGGGTTTCTATTTTCGATAATTAGTTGATCGAATTGTAATTGTCGATAATGTTTGAATGGGTTTCTATAGTCTAAATCTAAAAGTTTTAAGGCCAGAGTAAGTGTGACCAATAGAGGGCACAGCAGTTATTCAAACTAAGTTCAGTAGCACATTTGTCAGTCAGACACTAAAAACTTGTTCGAACATGACCTGAATAAGTCAGTCGTTATATTCCACTGCTCTGTTATGGCTGCCATTAGATTGAGATCGATTACATCGATGTCCTGAATTATTCAGATTACTTCAAGCAAGATGTAAGAAAATAGACCAGGTGCACAATTTTTAATGGATAACTTTAATTAGATAATGAATTTTTCTCTAGTAATTTTAATTGCAGTGGGAACATGGAAACCAAAATAGTGGTGAAGAAGAAGAAGAAGAAGAAGAAGAAGAAGAAGAAGAAGAAGAAGGGAGATGCCATGACAATCTTCACCTGTATGATCATCTAACCTGTGATAAGATTTTAAAAATCTGCTATTTAAATGGTTGCAACCCTCGATTGTCATATCATTTTTTTTGACTAGTTTTTAGTGAGGGTATAGCCTTTTATAAACGCATCCAGGTTAAGAAAACAACAAAATTAAGATAAGGAAAACCATCGATGACTTACAATGTTAGTACCTTAAGAAACTAGGCGGTCATTAATCTACAATGTTAAGATAATATAAGATAAGATAAGAAAAAAATATTTTGATTCGGCAGAAGTCAAATAAACAACACAAGCTTTAAGGAGCTTTTGACCGAATATAAAACATATACATAACATAAAAACAGTCTAAGATATAAACAACCTGTAATACAAAATTGAATCTTACACACAGCATGCAATAAAAATTTAGCAGCAAATTTAGAATTAAGTAAAGCATGGTTTACCTATTTAAAAGTTTAAAAATTAGATTAAAAATATGGTAACTATTTAAATAAATAGATTACTTGTTTAGTTGTTGGCATGATACGGGTTATGTTCTTCTGGTCTTTGTTACCCTTGAATGTTTTTTTATTTTAGTTTATTTATATGTTTTGGAGTTAGGAATGACGTCCATTTTCACTGAACTAGTAAAAACTTTTATTTAGGGGCCAGCTGAGGCCCACCTCCGGGTGCGGGATTTTCTCGCTGCGTTAAAGACCCATTGGTGGCCTTCGGCTGTTATCTGCTCTTTGGTCGGGTTGTTGTCTCTTTGACATATTCCCCATTTCCATTCTCAATTTTACTTTTGTAAAAATCAAATAAAAAAGTTTGGAACTATAGTATATGCTTCGAGATCTAGAAATTTCAAAGAACAACATATTTTCAACATGCATTGATTGCCTAATTTCTGGAAATATGTGTCAGAAACTAAAATTTAAATATATAAAATTCGTGAAGAAATACATCAATACTAGTCCAAAGCAAAAAAAAGCAACATAAAAAATAAACAGTTCAAGAGTTATCTGCAAGCAGAACAGCGACATTCCAAACCGTTCCAGACTGAATAAGACTTTTAAAATGTGAAAAACTATTTTCAGTCCTGAAATGGTTTGGAAGGCTGTTCCATAAAGTTGCGGCAGCAAATTTGAAAGATTTTTTACCGTAACGGATTGACTTTACCTGTGGAACATCCAGAATATTTACATACCAGAAAGAAAACTTTGTTAACACTCACCAGATTTTGTAAGCACACAGGAGCTATATTGTTCATAATCTTGAAAGTTTGTAGAGCCATTGTTCTTATCCGTCTGATCTGCAAGGAGGACACCTTAACTTTATGTTAGAGGTCCTTGTAGGAGCTGCTACATTTTGTAGTAGAATGTGCATTCTAGATGGGCTAGACAATACCTAAACTTTACTATTTGTATCTGTTAACATCTTCATATCAATTAAGAATTGAAAGTCTATGATTATATTCAGCCAAATTACAGGTTAGGCCATATTAAAATGATTTAAATAAATATTGCTATGATGTGCTTAAGTGATAAAATCAAACAAACAGTTCCTTATGTTTTTAAAATAGATATATCATAATAATACAAATATCAAGAGTTTTTGTAATAAGAATCACTGCAAACACTTTTCTAATGACACACACACTGAACGGAACTTTAATCGTGTGACTGGATAATGATTATTTGAAGCCACATAGTTCATGACGAAAAAACTTCACAAAAAAGGTGAAAATGAAAGGAATGTTAAAAGTCAAGTATTCATGGAATTCTACAGAAAGAGATAGTATTAAATAATCATGCAACTAGGTCAAAATTAATACAATACTTACTCGCTAAAAACTCGCAAGGAAAGCTTAAACAAGAAAGCTGTATAATTGTATATAATTATAAGAGAGATGACGGCGAGGGGAAATTATTTTTTTTTAATCCATCTTTAAAATTTGAAATTCTGAAAATTTTGTTTTGAATCGTAAATCATAAAACATGAGATATATACTGAAATTATTTCTGAAACCACATTTTGTCGTTTTAGGGGAAACTTCCTTTTGAAATCAGCTTAGATGCAGCGTGATAGTAGTTTATTGAAGATACTTCAAATTTCATGTCGAAGTACAAACAGACAAACATAGCTGACTATTCGGAGGGGCTTTGTTCGTTGTTGAAGGCCGTACGGTGACCTATAGTTGTTAATTTCTGTGTCATTTTGTCTCTTGTGGAGAGTTGTCTGATTGGCAATCATACATCATCGTTTTCATATAACAGGTAATTTGTGTTAGCAATACTTAAAGAAAAATTAAATTTATGATAAGATGTAGGCAATGTAAGAAATTAAAGTGTAGTGTGTAGATATTTCAGTTACTTTGACAATGCCGAAAATATTTTAATTACTGTGTTTTTTTTTATCTTTAAAATTTTTCATAATCCCTATTTGATTAATCAGCCGAATCTGGTATCTCTTATCGTTATATTTCAACGACAATTAAAAAGGCCTCAAAATCTTGGAAAGTGTTTAGTAGAAGATCGTTATGATCTTGCAGCATAATGTTTTCACCAAGACTTGTGTGACGTATTTATACAACATAAAGACGGAAAATCGACCCCCTTCATCACAAACTCTCATGCAAACAGTGGGGTCAGCCAATTAGCATTTTGGAACTTTATTACTAAAAGGGGCATGAAAAAAAATTAAGATACCAAAGAATGGACATGGCTGCATATTACCGATAAAAAATGATGACGCTATCAAAAAACGAAATAAAAGATCTAAATCTAATTTAAATACCTAGCTTCCGAACAAATCATCGATAATTGATTCATCGGGTTTCTATTGTCAATTATTGATTGATCATGTTTCTATTGTCGATTCTTGATTGATCGGGTTTCTGTTGTCAATAATTGATTGATCGGGTTTCTATTCGCGATTATTGATTGATCAGGTTTCTCGATTATTTATTGTTAGGGTTTCTAATGTCGGTAATGGATTGACTGGGTTTATATTGTCGATAATAGATTGATCGACTTCTATTGTCGATAATAGACTGATCGGATTTCTCGATTATTGATTGATCGGGGATCTTGATTGTGATTGATCAGGTTTCTTGTCGATAATTGATTCATCTGGCTTCTATTGTAGATTATTTTTTTATCAAGTTTCTATTGTCAATATTTGATTGGCAGATGT